CCCAGTGAGATGGATTTGACACAGTGACTGCAGCACTGGGCTTAAGTATGTCAGAAATGATGAAGATGGCACAACTTAGGACAGGGTTCAAGACTGTTGTTCTTAGGATCACAATGAGTTGTACTTGACTCGACGGCACCCGACAACAACAGACATCTATGGAAGGACTGAGCTGAATAGTCTAAAGATTGTCATGAATAAATTAACTTCTTAATAACAACACACCAGTAAAACTTCTGATTCTTCAGCTTTAGACATTTAAAGTTTTTCTTCTTAGCATGATTAGTGTTATCTCTATTTTGGTAGAATCCAAATTTTTATATATCATCTATCTTTTCTACATCTAATTGAAGTTAATAATATAATCACTAAATAATTAGAGTAGAACTTACAGATTGAACACTGCACTTAGATTAATTAAAGGTTTTCATAAATGTATATCAATTGGGCAATTATATTCTAGTAATGAGTAAAATTGTGAAAACTAGATTCTATTTTCCAGGGATCATATTGCGAGATATGTAAAATTAAGTCACAATTAACAAGCCAGACAGATGGAAAAAGCTTTTAAAATTGTGATATTACTAAGACTAAAAATGTAGAGCAGATCAATAGCATGTAAACATTTTAGTCCCTTGTTCAAATTTCTTAAAATGTATATATCGAAATATCATTTGACCGAGCAATTCCACTACTGGGAATATGCCCCAAATAGAACATAATTGCCACCCAAGCCGATACATGCACACCCGTGTTTATCATGGCTTTGTTCACAATAGCAACGAGTTGGAAAAAACCTAAGTGTCATCAACAAACAAATGGATACAGAAGCTGTGGTATATCCACACAATGGAATACTAAGCTGTATTAAAAACAAGGAATTCATGCAATATTATTCAAAATGGGTGATCCTGGAGAACTTATGCTGAGTGAAGTATCTCAGTCACAAAAGGACAAATACGGCATATTGCCACTTTTGTAAAACAGGACTGACATTGAGGTTGGGGGAGACTGAGAAAGATGGGATAAATAATATATACTGCATTGAAACATATGAGGGAGAAAACTGTTTAAAAGGGATATGTGATTAGGTATTATTGTCATGACAGAAGTCCAGAACGGAGGCTGCACAGTGGAGTGGACCTGAGGGGAGGGATTGTAAAACAATGGGGGAACTTTTCTTTTACATTTCAAAGAGAAGAGTGTACTGGGGGGGAGGGGTGGACGGGGAGAAAAGTGCAACAATGAATGAATGGAAATCCTGCCTCTGTAAATTTTCATTAAAATTAATAAAAAGTGATAAAAAGAGTATCACCATTATCAGTGGTGATAAATGTTTATTAATGGCCCATAACATGCTCTATAGCAGTTTTCTAGCCATTTTCAAAGAATAGGTACTGTTACCAGGTTCTCTGCATATGTTCTTGCTTTAAATGTACAAGTACTCCTACTATACTTTAAACCCAGGCTCAAACTCACCACTTATTGAGTCGACTCCAACTCACAGTGACCCTATAGGACAGGATATAACTATTCCCATAGTCTCTTAGTCTGTAATTTAAGGAAATAAAAAGCTGTAACTTTCCCCACAGAGAGGCTGGTGAATTTGAACCACACATTTTAGTTAGCCGTTTAACAATTTAACCTCTGTGCCACCAGGACTCTTTGGACACATATATTTTATAAGTAAGTGTGTGTGTGCCCGCACGTGTCACGTGTCATTGTTGCTGTCGTTGCTCGATTCCATCTAGTTGCCTATGGTTCATAGCGACTCTCTGAACAACGGCTGAGATTCTTGCCCCACCCTGCACCATCTTCACACTCTCCATCATGTTAAAGCTCATTGTTACTGTGCCAATCACTCTTGTTAAGGATCTTCCTCTCTTTCACTGACCCTCTCTCTACCTTTCCCAGCAGAGGGGTGTGTGTGTGTGTGTGTGTGTGTGTGTGTGTGTGTGTGTGTGTGTGTGAATCTAAAAGCATGTGCTTTAAATACACCAGCTTGCACCATGGGAGAGAAGAGACAGTCTCTTCCTGTGTGATTTACAGCCTCTGAAGACCTGCTGGAAGGTCAGCGATAATGAAGGTTTGACTCAATGGCACAAAATAATAACAGTAACCTGGATGTGGGTATGTATGTGCATTAAATGTGGATGTGATTTTATGTTAGATGGATTGACACAGCGACTGGAGCAATGGTGTCAGATGTGTCAGAGGCAGTGAGATTCACTCAGGATAGCGTAAGGTTTAGAGCTATTGTGCATGGGGTCACTATGAGTTGCAGGTGACTCGACAGCACATAACAACAGTGTTTGTATATATACACGTATGCATGTGTGTGTGTGCATCTCATACAATTTGTTGTTGTGGTTGTTGTTTTTTGTTGTTGTTAGTTGACTATGAGTTGGCTTGTATTCAATAGTAACCTTATGTACAACTGGAAGAAACCTTGTCTAATCCTGTACCATCCTCAGTTTCCACTCTGCCTCAGCCCATTGTTGTAGTCATTTTATCAATCCATTTTGTTGACAATCTCTTTTTTTTTAACTGGTTCTACATATTTTTGCAATGCAAATAGGACTTTACTAGATTATTTAAGTTTTCTGTGTTGGTGATGGTTATTTTTGAGTACCATTGAGTCAGACCCATAGCTGACCCTCCGGCAGGTTTTCAGAAGCAGTCAGTCACATGGGAGGAGATTGCCCATTTTTATCTTGCAAAGCAACTTGTTGATTTAAACCATGTGCCTTTGGGATTGCAGTTCAGCTTCTTGCCACTGTTTATACAAAGTAGATGCTTATTATGAACATTGTATTTATTAAGAACACATAGCTACTTTACAAGCACACATTGGTCACTTTAATAATGATATTGAATTTTATGTTCATTTTTATAGCCATAAAATATAATAAATGTATATTTTATTGTATACTGTGTAGTATTGTTATATTTATCACATATCTTTACTATATAAGAATAGAAAACAGCTGAATACTGATACATTTGACACAGTTCTTTCCACTTTTATTTTACCTCCTCTTGTCTTCTCCATAATGTTAGAAGCTTAGCAATGTACTCATACCCATTTCATAGATGAGAAAACTGAAGCACTTACAAGCTAGGTTGCTTTCCCAAAATAATTTGTCTAATAAGTAGAAGAACATAGATTTGAATCCACATTCTAGAGAATATGCTCCAAAATACTACGAGATCACACGCAATTTCTTTCCTTTGTGTAGTATCTACACACCTCACGTGTGTGTGTTACATAGAAATAATAATGACACGCACATTGACTTCTCTTATTTTTATCATTTAAATAAATGCTTACTTTAGATGCATTAGATTTTCTTCGAGTTTGGAATTGGGAAAATACAATGTGCTGAGAGAAGGAGAGATATATGCCTCGGGGAGAGAACTCGCTGGCTGATTGCCCAGAGGCCTCACTGCATGACATTTCCTTGCTGAATTAATGAATTAGAGCCACTCAGTACAGCTTGGCATAGTCACATATCTGCTGAAGGAAGGATAGCAGAACCACCTGGGCCTAACCAAGGCATCAAATGCCACCCTATTAGTCTACAAGGGTAAATGTCTCCTCAAGGACCAGAGCACTCCTGCTGACTCGCCAAGACATATTGTTTGCTCATGACAAGATGTCATGTCTCAAACCGAGACATTTCTATCTTATCTCCTCAAAGTGACTTGATGAATTCAGTTCTCATATGCCTTAGTTAAGGAAGTTATTTAACTCTTACGTTTCAATTTCCTCATCCGCAACATTGAGCAAGCTCTGAACAGAATTAAAGATTAAATGAGAGGATAACTATCAAGAACAGAGTCTACAACATAAATAGCATTATTTCTGTGGCTGTTGTTACTGTATTAGTGTTAAATTTGAAGATTACACATTGAAATTTACAATCAAACCTGGTGGTTTTGATGGGACAGTCATAATATTCACACACGTTTCTCAGGCCTCCCTGCCTATGCAAACATCCAGTTTATCTGAAAGCCAGTTCTTCAAAAGTTCATGTCCAAGAAAATATTGAAGGAAAACACTTAGAATTGGTTTCATATTTGACAAGTTTTGAAGAATTGGTCATTTGTCAAATGGCTATTTTGATGATCTAACCAATTGTTGAACTGGCTTTTGGAAAATGGGTCTTGCGTGCATTAACCTGCAAAATATGTCCAGTGTCATTTATATTCATTTGTGCAAACTAAGACCTCCGGCCCTGACTCTCTGGAAATATGAACTTCTAATCTAGACATGCAAATTTTTCTTATTCTGATATCCATCCTATCTGCCAGTTATTTTTTTAAACTGTTTTTGCTCAAGACTTCCTCACTGTACTTTGGTGAAACTTTATCATGTTGTCGGGAGGTACCAGTCATTAGAAAAAGATATCATACTTTAGAAGGTTAGAGGGTCAGTGAAAGGAGAGAAAGACCTTCAATGAGATGGGCTGACACAGTGACTGCAACAATGAACTTGAACATGTTAGACCTCGTGAAGAAGGTGCAGGACGGGCACCTTTCAGGTCTGTTGTTCATTGGGTAACTATGAGTGTCACTCAATTTGATAGCACCTAACAACAGCTACTTTAAGATTTCTGCATAGAAGACTTTATTAGGTCAATAACTTTTGTTCTCAAAACTTACATTTCTCTTTATGTTGTGATTTGTGATAGATTCTTTTAGGAGGATTTAATTAATAATTAAGGAAAAATCCATATTTCCAGTGTTTTGACTCACTGCCTAACCGTAGGCTTGCTTAATGCACCATTGCATTTATTTAATCTGCCTGTACATAGATTCAGCTGGCTCTTAACATGTGTTGAATTCTTAGGAGGAACAAGTTATTATTATTTCAAGCATCACACTTTTACTAAGATCTGTCAAAGTGTATATGTTGGCTACTCTAGCACTGTAGATAAAATAATTACTTATGGATGTATTGTATTTTCTGATGCTTGATCTCTTAAAACCATTTTTAGGATGAAAGTTCAATAGAAAGCGATGAATTTGATATGAGTGATTCAACACGGATGTCAGCGGTGAACTCTGATCTTAGCTCCAATCTTGAGGAAAGAATGCAAAGTCCCCAGACTCTACATGGCCAGCAAGATGGTAAGCTTTTCAAATCAATGTCTACAAGCAATTCAATAAAAACAACCACAAAACATGAGTCAGGATCTGTTGCAACAATCTCTAACCTTTACTTGTGTGTGAATTTTGTCTGTTTCTATGAGGATCAATGTCTGTGAACACAGGTCTTTTTGTTTACTTCATTATTTTTGGATTCAGGTGAATTTTATATCAGATTAATTTCTAAACAGAAATCAGTTGTAAAACTAAACTTACCAGTGTTTTGATCCCTGATCTTCAAATATATGCTTTATTAATTCAGCTTGGTTGTCTATGACACTTTTTGGCTTTTGAGAATGTGACAAATTCTCATGTGTCATGGACTTTTATTCTTCCAGCTGTTGTGAGTTAAACAGTGACCAAAAGGCTAATTTGCATTTTCCTTTCGTCCAAAATGACAGAATTGGATCCCAAAAGATGTCAAGGTAAAGGAATGACTTATCAGAATGATTTTTCTGGAGAAGCAGAAATTTAAAGGAATTTTGAGATATTTTATTCAGCTGTGAAGGGGAGAAAAATCCTGATTTTTTTTATCCTTGAGTGAATCAGAGTTTCCTGACTCATCTCATTGTCCCTGATGGGAAGGAAGCTGTTATATACACAAAGTAGAAGTGACAGGTAACTCTTTAAATCTAATATTTTCAAAGACGTTTTAAAACATATTTTATATTGGTTTGCTTATGAAGTGTGTATACATTATGCTTCACACTGTTCTTCATTCACACTGTGTTTCGTACAGTCATTCCCATTCATTATGTTTTATAAAATTAATCACCATTAGAATATCCTTATCATTACTCTGTTGGAGATGTTTTTAAAAACCATCTCTGTTCTGATTATCTATGAATGTATGAAATTATAGATTATATGTTCAAGTAAATGTCCCTTTTTGAGTAATTGTAGGTGAAGTTTAATAGTTATAGAAAGCAGAAAATAAAGATTATAAATAGCAGAAAATAAGGTTCTAACACGCAGGCCAATTTTACTCAAAATCAGCTTGTTTTTTCTAGAATGAACACAATTATATGAACTATTTTACTGCATAGTTTTCTTTCTGTGCTGACTCTTGCTATTGAAAACTGGTTGCAAAATATTATGGAATTTCTAGCCGCCATGTGTACTCAAGGCTTAAGAAACCCCTAATTATAAGCATACCAAGAGTAAAAAATAAAAGGACTTTGATTTTTCTTATTTCAAATGTGTCTGAAAGATCTTGGTGTCCTTTTTGGCATAAATTATAAGGAAAGGAAGCGTTTACTTATTTTAAATCCTAGATTGATTTTTTTTTGTCAAACATTCTTCTAAGTGGTATAGCACTGGTCTGTGCATTGCTGTACAGAGGTAACTCGTGACAGCTGTGATGGTACACACTGTCATACTGATGTGTCAGATGTGATAACGGTTACCCATGGTGGACAGTGTTTGGCGGAGCTTTCTGATTAAAACAAGCTTGGAAGCAGGAGTGGCATCCACTTCTGAAGTGGCTTGCCTCCAGAAACTCTATGAACATGGAGAAATGACAAAAGTTATACAAACATTCAAGTCTTTCATAGGGTCACTATGAATCATCTACAACTTGACAGCACTTAACAACAATAACAACAGATTGATTTCTTACTACATAGTAGAATATTTATTGCAGTCAGCAAGGCATCTGTTTACGACTTTTAAGAATGCACTTATTCTGGTTTATATATAATCTATCTGATTTCTTCTAAAATATGAGCAGACATCCTCAGAATTTTATTTGTTTATCACTTGAAATAGAAATTGTTTGCCACTGGGAATAGTGTGACTGCAGTAGTCTGTATACCAATGTGTATATCTTTATTAACGTAAATTTGTTGGGTTATATACAGTCAAATTTTTTTTTAGTTTGAAATTTTAAAGAATGAAAGTAGCAAGGAGTGTGTTCCTCATGATGCAGAGCGGTGATAGGCATCGCTAGGTAGGAATCTTTGACAAGGATACTGATAAATCCACACTAACTTAATAAAATACACCAGAATAAATGTATACAGTGCTTTCTCCAAAAGGAGTTTTTTAAATTATATATCCATGTCTGGAGATGCTGTGAGGCTGAACACTGTGACACTGATGTGTCAAATGCCTTAATGTCTGGTTACCCAAAGTGGACAGAAAGTGGGGTGGAGCTCCCCAATGAAAACAAGCTTGGAAGGAGGAGTGGCATCCACTTCCATAATAGCTTGCCTCTGGAAACCCTGTGAACCTGGGGTGAGGATGAAAGGTACCCAAGCATTGAGGACTCTCCTTCATAGGGTCGCTATGAGTCGCCTGTGACTCAACAGCACTTAACAACAACAACAACAGTAAATATATAGTTGAACGTGACCTGGTCAGTTTTTCAAAAGAATATATGGAATCTGTATCACCTTTCTTGTTTCCCCCTCATTCCATTCAATCAATCAATCAAGTCCTCCTCATCCCTGTCAAATATTATTGACACAGCCTTCTATGTAGTACCTATTTCTTTAGTGCGTCCTTTTATCTGATGATTGAGCTGTCTTATAATGTATGGCTTAAAATTCTTCAAGTGGTTTATCATTATGTGCACTCTAAATTCAAAAGACACAATCCAGACTCCCAAGTATATTGTGGTAGACATGCTGTTTACAATCCCGACATCCATATTTGTTTGGAGAAAGGAAGAAACAGAGATGTGGGGTTTACTCCTAAAGTAAGCACAGGAGGGGTGGACATGGCATCATAGCAGGAAGTTTCTCATTACTTCATTCAGACAAAGGAAGTGAGAACCAATGTGACATTGGACGTTTTGGAATGAACACTTACTATGGCTTTTCTCGAGTTGACATGGTGGGTTTTTATGTGCCATTTAATTCCATTTGAAGTAAAGAAACATGACAGTTTTGCCATTTGTCTTTCTCTTGCATAATGTTGATTTTAAGTACTTGAAAAAAAAAGAGCACTTAAGTAAAATCTCCAAAATGGCACAATTTGTCTTTAATAGCGTGTGCAAGCATTTACTTCACAAACTGATATCAGCTATTTTTATTTCATTTCTTGGTACACACACATTTTACCAACATATTTTACTTCACCTTACTGATGAGTCTTCAAGGACTGGAAAGAAAAGGAAATATTCGTTGTCTTCTTTGCCATCATTTTCCATGAAAGTATAAGAGGATATGCTGACATTCCTTAGGTATTTGGTGTGTGTGTGTGTGTGTGTGTGTGTGTGTGTGTGTGTGTGTGTTTAGTACCAGGGCTTCCTTTTTTAATTCAGTGCAAGCTCTAGTTCAAGCTGAAAGCTGGCTATCTTGAAGCTGTCAGTGCTCTGTTTACTGAATCATAACCTTCTTACATGTGTCTTACCAAACTCCTGCTTCACGCTTCCACTGCAATTCATGGAACAGTCAGAGTCCTGTGTAAATAAGTTGCAGGAAATGGCAGATATCCTTATATCCCTTGCTGACATTGATATACATTGTCCCATTGGATTTCATGTCCAAAACACAAGCTCTGTAATAATTAAAAATTTCAAGATAATGGAGCCCTATTCAATTGCCAGTTTGTGCATGAAGTTGATTCTACATGAAGCTGATATCTCACAAGGTGAGTGGGGAGATGGCAGGCGACATTATGAGCTCTTACTCTGTATCAGGAAGCTCTGGTGGTTTAGTAGTAAATAACTGTGCTGCAAATCCAAAGGTATCCTGTTCAAATATACCAGCTACTTTGTGCACAAGAAAGAGCATCAATCTTGAAAGAGGGTCAGTCTCCTCCTTTGTGATTTACTGCCTCTGAAAACCCACTGGAGTGTCAGTGATGGGTTGGTTCTGATTCTATGGTACTAAACAACAACAGCAATACAAACAAGATGTAGTCTTATGTGTTTTTTCAGTTGCCTTTTGGCACAAGATATATGTGTCTATATCTATTTCTAGGCAGGGAAGATGAGTGGAACAGCCAGATTCTGCAAAGGTGTGTTTTCTGGTTTGGGGTTGAGACTAGGCTTTGCTTGCAACAGGGTGTGAACTGATTGGATTTGGCTTCTTATTTAAAAAGGCATTTGGACCCTCAGGCCTGTAGCCCTCAGGCTTGGTTTTTGTGAATCTCCTGAATAAAACAGGCTTAGAAGCAGGAGTGGCATCTACTTCCAAAAAAAAAGCTTGCATCCAGGAAACTCTATGGACTTGGATAAAATATGAAAGTTTTGTGTTCAAGACATTTCTTCATAGGGTTCCTATGGGTCATCTATGACTCTACAGCACTTAACCACAACATACATACATCTATCGTTGTTATATGTACTGTTGAGCTGGAACCCACCCATACCTGACCCTCTAGCAGGTTTTCAGAGGCAGTAAATCACACAGGAGGAGCTTGCTTATTCTTCTCTTGAGGAATAGCTGGTGGATTTGAACTGTTTGCCTTTGGGATTGCAACACAGATTCTTCCCACTAGGCACCCAATATATGTAGGATGGTTAAGATAATATTGAAGAGCAACAATGTCAGTCTAGAGACTAACGTGTGCCTGATACAGGCCATGGTCTTTGCAGTTACTTGCTGTACATCAAAGAGCTGGGAAATGTCTAGGGATGATAGAAGGAGAGTTGATGCCTTTGAGCTGTGGTGTTGGAAAACAGTATTGACTATACCATGGACTGCTAGGAGAATAAACAAGTTCATCCTGGAGAGGGTGAAGCCAGGCTGCTCCTTGGAGGCAAGGATTCTGAAGCTTCATCTGACATACTATGGACACATTGCAAGTCAGGATCAGTTCTTGGAGAGGGATGTCATGCTTGGGAGGGCGGAGGAATAGCACAGGAGAGGAAGACCCTTGGATAGAGCAGGGTTTAGAGCTGTTGTACATAGGGTCGTTATGAGTCACCAGAAACTCAATTGCACATAAAAACAATGACAAGAAGATAATATTGAATATCTCATGGCCTATGCATCAGAGAGCTGGACAGTGAATAGGGCTGATAGAAAGAGAAT